CCAGAAGTGACACGTAGTTCGAGTTTTTGTCGGCGTGGGCCAGGAATAGGTCCAGCTTCAGGCCAGGATATTTGGGAGCGTTTGATGGGTTTCGATGGCGTTCGTGATGCCGTTTGCAGAGCTCTCTCCTTGAACTTGATTATTTTATCTTCATTCAGGCCGAGTATGTCTTCCAACTTCTCTACGACGAGTTCAGGGTGTTCGAGAATGATTTCGTCGTCGTCACTATCGTCACTGTTGCTTTCCTCTTTAGGAAAATGACTGGCACCTCTGAGTTGGACGTCGTAGAAGTCGGCAAGGTAGGCGAGCATGGACCGGTGCCATTTAGTTTGTGGATCCCTCAAAGAGTAAAAATCGTTCGCGTTCCGAGGAAAACGTGAGGAATCAGGCTCAAGAATGCCGCGTCCAGGGCGATACACAACAACAGGTCGGATAGGGAGGGTTGGATTCTTCAAGGCATTGTTCCGCGTGAACGCTTGAGACCGGCTCATCTCGGCTTCAAGGTATTGCATCTGAACCGTAAAGTCGCCTCTAAGGGTTGTGACGTCGTCTTTCAGAGCCGTGAAGTCGTCTTTCAGAGCCGTGAAGTCGTCTTTGAGTGCCGTGATGTCGTCTCTGACCTCCTTGATGTCGGCTTTCAACTCCCGCTTGACGTCGTTCAACTCCTGCTTCACGTCGTCGACGGAACATCGAATGGAAGCGAGTTCAGCATTCAGATGCTTGTCCTGGGAATTTCGCAAATCTATGTATTCGTCGCGGGAGAGACACTGTGACCGGTGTTTGTCGGGAGAGAAAGAGGAAACAGGCGTCGCTGCCATGGTAACGGTGGTGAGAGTGGTTGTAGAAATGACCATTTGCGACGATCGGAATGGTTTGGTTGTAGGCGCTATGGCATGGCTTTGTCAGAATATGCCTTGACAGGCGCTCATGTCGGGAGGAGGTGGGCTGTTAAGTACCCATCAAGGGAGTTGTGGGGTGGATGTCAGGCTTTCATTGGCTGTCTTCTCCTCGCCCGAACAGAAGACATTCAAAGTCGGGCAGCGCTTCGCACAGACTGGTTGGGACCAAGGGTTTTCGCTCAAGGCCTGAGCAGGAACACTACAGACGTTTGTGTGTGATTTGCGAAGGCCACGATGCAGCATTATTGCGTTGCACCCATCCATCCCTCTCTGTGTCCGCATGCTAACCTCGGGTGACTGCCTGGCCATGATACAGTGTGATAGCGTAATCTGCCTTGTAAATTGTGAGTCACTGGCCATGGTTCAAGTCGCAGATACATTTCCGTGCTGAACAGAGGGGTCCAGACTTGTGTTCTCCAAGTTATAGAACAGATTTTCAGCGAATATCTATACAAGCAACTAAATGAAAAAGCGCACGAAAGTACGCAGGGACATGGATGATGTTCTAAGCAGCACCGACCGAGATGGCTCCTGATAGGACATACACCGGATCTGGGTACGAGCTGAGGGCCACGTTGACGCCTACGCCGGAAGGGCGCTTCAACGCGTTGCACTCACCAGCAACGCCACCTTCGAGCGCTCACTGCGATTTACTGCTTGGGAACCATGTGCAGTAGCGGGAACAAAATTTTGAACAGGCAGCTTAAAGAATGGATAGTGTAGACAATACATAGAGCGAAGTGGGTGTCGCGCTTGATCCTCAGTTGTTCGGCTTTCAGTGGCCTGGCCTTGTTTGTTTGTCACCTGGGAGCGGAGTCCCGGCTGACCTTGTAGCCTAGAATCCTGGATCTTAGATGTGCAACGAAGCCCGCAAAGGGGATCGCGGTCTCCTGACTTGAACTTTGAACGCCGTTCCGAACCAAGAACGTGGATGCTTGGGTACACGATGGCCAGCGAGGAAACCAGACTCTTGGGAACATTTGCGCCAAATATTCAACGCACCTTTGAGCTCCATCCATGAGCCACTGTAGCAAATTGCAGGTCCGCATCAGCCACTTAAGCGGTGCGCAATCTTGGTTCATGATGAGGCAGGCCTACCGCAAGACGTGTTACCTCTCCTCACGTCGCTGTGGCTGGAATAACGAAAGGCTGGTCGCGATGCGCGAATTACACGGCAGGCGCCTGCTCTGGAACATAGACTTCCATTCGCTTCGATTACGTTCTTCAATCGTACGTTGCCTACGCATCGTGGTGTTTGCTGAGCCTGCTTCAGTCTATGGCTACTTTGGTGCATAGCAAAGGCCAAACACCAGCAAGGGATTGTATCGATAGTAACGAGGATGTATTGCTTCCTCTTCGCAACACGCGTCGTCTTTCTGAACTTGATCCCACACAAGCTGGATTGGAGTTGATTTGTACAGTTCACCACGCTTGGCAGTGGGTAATGGCCGTTATTGAAGCCAAACAAGGTGTCGAGTAGATTTCAATGAAGCGCCGCAACTCGTACTGCTAGACACCATCCCGACCCCACATTTTGTTTGCAAACAAGCTGCCACAGCCATTGCCAAAGGTTTGCTGAGGCCCATCACAGCAGTGTTAGACTTCTCAAACGTTGAAATGTTTGCAAAAGAGGGAGCGATGCATGCGCAATACTGTAATGGCCAGTCATTACAGTTGATGACTTCATATTAGTAGGTCAAGTATTTAAAGTCGCTTCGTGCCACTGTACCTGCCATTGAGAAGGCCATTTCACTTCTTCCAAGATGCCTGCTCCTGTAGACTTGGCGCAGGAGGTAACGTCTTTGTTTCGTAGCGACCGCTTAGCATACATACTGACAGCGAAAAAGTTGCACAGCTTCTGCCATCGTCTCGATTGCGATTTTGATGCGGTCAGTTCCTTTCTCGACCGAGACATTTCATTTCGAGATAAGTTCACAGCCGTGATTTCGAGATACATTTACCAGCCCCGAGTCATGTCTAGCGTCGAGGCCACCCTAAAACCGACACAGGCCGGCTCGGCCATGCCTCCCTGTACATGCGATGGTGAGGTAGGCTCTGGATCAGACGGACATGCACCTAGCCGCTCGCCAATTGCTTCCGTCGAAGCTAATTCACAAGCTTTTGGAGGCGCGTCGCCAACGCGCAAATCCGTAGAGGCTGATGGCGCTGCTGCCCCCATGAAGCGTAGGAAGGATAGCAGAGCTGGACGCATCCCACCAATCATCGCCAAAGTGGAGAAAATCGGTAGCCCAGAGACTCTCGTACGCCTATGGGACAGCTGCAGGGCATCGAGGGCTCGAGATCAGAGTATCGTTACTGGGACGCGACAGGTCCTGCCTGACGAACCGGAAGGTGACTTGGATGGCCCTTCTGTGCTGGAACGACTCGATTCCCTCAGAGAGCAGGCGGCTGCAGCTAGTTCAAGCATTCACTTTTCCATTGCTATCAAGCGCTACCATCATACTCAGATGGTCCACTTATACAACAGGGCGAGAGACCTCGACGAGACGACGATTGAGGCGGCAGATCCAGGCAGCGCCTCCCAGTCTCTGGTTGACCAATTTGCGGAGAGGCCTTTCCCCAGCGCCTCATCAGTCGGAAAGCAGGCTGGTCGGGGGCCGAAGCTTAAGAGGAAGCCGCTGAAGAGCGCATTCAACAGGTGGCTGACCCTCGGGAATAAGCTAACCACACTAGTTGCCAGGTACGGGTGCGGGGTTCCTTCTACTCCTGCCGAGCGATTTGAGGAATGAAGAGTTAGTGCACAGTGCCGTCTGCTTGGTCAGGTACCAACTCCGTTAGCATTCGACGACTTCGTGATGCTGATCTCCTCGCGGTGCTGAACCGGTTAGATACGCATGTCCGACTGAAAGACAGCATCCAGGCCCTCACAGAAGTGCTTCTCAGTCTGGTCACATGGGGCATCCTGCCTGTGGCGAGGATTGGCTTGGAGACGTATGCCTCTGCGTCGCAGGTTCGAAAACTGGCTTCGGAGCCTATGTTTCTGGGGGGGCTATTGTCTTGGTGTACTGGCGCAGCATCCGACCCGGACCTCGCGATGTTGACGCAGCCAGCTCTCCATTCGGCGACTGAACACCGCGACAGCACGGCCGAGGTGGACAATCTTTCATTTCACGCCGACGACTGATATTCGTGTAGTATTAGCCAATAGAGGAAACATTGCAAAAAACATAAGTGATCTTCATAGAGAGAGCCCTCGACATCACTCTAAAAACCCCTGCCAACTGGAACTCCTGAAGATCGGCAAAGCGAGACATGATGAAAGCTCTGAAAGAGCCACCGGTATTGGTCGAGACAACATCGCCATGTACTGCCTACGAGAGTATACAGCGTCTATAGGCAAGCGCTAGAAGACGCCGATCTTGTCCTTGATACCGAAAAGAAAGGGACACCTGGTCACGTCGTAGACATCTGCCACTTTCCGCAATTATCTGCGCAGCAGACAAAGACGCTCCAGTTGGTTCAGCACCCGAACATCGTCACGGTTCATGAAATGTATAGCGACAAGGCGAATCGTCACGTCGCCTACGGACGCATGCCACGATCATTGCAAGAGGCCGTCGGTAACCTAGATCTCAATCGTCAACGCCTAGCAGCGATCTCATGACAGGTCTGTTCAATCCTCCCATGAAAGCCCATTTTATCTCACAGGTAAACATGCAGTCGAGGCACTGGTTTATCTCGAGAGAGTAGGGTCGCAGCACGGCCAACGTAGCTGCTCTTGTATCCTGATATACCTTAGCGGTAGGGTCAAGCTGAGCACTACTTGATTTGTCGTCCATTAGCGAATTTGGCGCTGATCAGAATGTTTAGGCGGCCAGGAAAATTGTCGACCGCGTAGCCGTAGGAAAGACTTGGGCGACGACCTAGGCTACACGATGATGGAGCTAATGCAAGGATATGTGAAGGAGGGCGCCAACTTTGGGTCGGACGGTCCGAAGCATTGGGGTTCGGAAGTCGTGAGCTTCCTCTCAGCGACAACTGCCGCAACATCTGCGGGCGAGTTGAGCGAGGTTGGCCTACGCCGATGCCTTGTCAAATCAGCCACTGATGTGTCTCTAGCATTCTTTCCTGCGTTCGTGGCGAAAAGAAAAGTCGAAAGGACTGGTCATGGCATGGATGCGGCAAGAATATGAGTATTTCGGGTGGCTGGAACGAAGTTAGCGCAAAGCAAAACATCGAGTGTCTCTCGCTTGGCCCGTTTCCTGACTGCTGCATCGATTGAGGACGGTCGATGAATGAGATCCTGAATTGCCACTGTGAACACTGTTTTTGGAGGTGCTGAGCCCTGACAGCAGCGATTGGCACGTGACTCCTTCTATCCAAGTCATAATGTTCAGGCCGAGAGCCTGCCCAAGCGGAGAAAAAACACCAACAACAGCGAGAACGAATTTTTTGAAATCGGAGCAAAAACAGCGCCACAATACACTCCGAAAGGTCAATTGGATAGCCGTGTGCTCGTCGCGAAGCCCATAACGACGTAGGCACCATGGCAACCCCATGGCCCCAGGAGCAAACATGGCCAACGCACCATCGAGAGCATGCCACTCAACTTAGCAGACACCTTCAGACAGCACTCAAATCAATCGACACCGCAAACGAACACCCCCTTGACCCGAAAGCCGTGAGACTCACTCTCATTACCACCATCGCCCTACTGGCCAAATTACAGAAATTACCCAAGCTCGGACACCTCCACCAAGCTATTGAGAGTCTACGTACAGAAAACAAGACAGCCAACGAGAGCAACATCCGCAAATCGAGAACCATCAGGATTACTATGCAGCAGAATACGGCCGAACTGAAGGAAAACACCAACACAACGCGCGCAGCCAGCGCGGCTACCAAGGAGGCTTGGAAAGCCAGCGAGCTAGCAGTCAAGGTCGTGAAGGATATCAAAGCACTGGAGCCGATGAATCAGGGAAACACCGTGCAGTCATATACCAGCGTAGCCGCCCGAGGAGGACTTGCAGGGGAGCATGCATAACCCCTGTAACCAGAGAGCGTCCCAGACCCAGATTCTACGTGAAATCATAATGAACATTAGAGACCCTATCACCATTACCAGCATAAGAGCCATAAACCCCCGTAGCCTCAAGGCGCACGTAGACCGCGCCATCGAACAAAGCAGCAACGAGCATATCCACAAGCTCAAGACCGTGTCCGCCAATCAACTCAAGAGCGGCGACCTGAGCGTCAAGACAGCAACGACGAAAGACATGGAGGCCCTCCGGCAGTTTGCCGAGGACTGGCAAAACCACATCGGCAACGGAGCCGCCGTGAGGATTCCAACCTACGGAGTGCTGGCGCACGGCATCAGAACCAGCTCCATGAACATGGACCGCTTCACAGAAATCAGAGACGACCTGCTGCAGGACAACAAAGCATTCATCCCCAGAGCAGACATTAAGTACGTAGGCTGGCTGACCCAATCGGCCAGCAAAAAGACGGCATCATCAGTGGTCGTGGAGCTCTCAAGGGCAGAAGACGCCAGCAAACTGATCGACGAGGGACTCATCTGGCAAGGCCAGGTGTTCCAATGCGAGCGATACGATAGACAGTGCCGTCTGAGACAGTGTTTCAAGTGCTGCGCATACGGCCACATAGGAACCCAGTGCAAGGCAACGACAACATGCGGCTACTGTGCGCAAGAACACGCGACCCGAGATTGCCCCTCGAAAAGCGACACGACGACCCCAAGGAAATGCGCCGCATGCTACGGCGAACACGAGGCATGGCACG